AATCCGCTCAGAATTTGAAAATAGCGATTCCTGCTCGGTTTTCTGAGATTAGAAAAAAAACCACACGTTCTAGCTCAATTCTGACAGTGGATTTGAATTCAGCAGAGTCTTTTACATAAAAATGTACTATTTGATGTGGAAATAAATTTTTTTCCAAATTTTCCCAGTAAATTTTCATCAATTTTTACTATTTTTCACAAGTTTTTTGAGGTTAGGAAAAAATTGTGACGTGATGGGCCAATTCTGATCCCAGATTCGTGTTCAAGAGACCAAATTACTACGAAAAATATATGTCGCATAAAAAGTATACCCAACTTTTTTTTGTGTAGCTGTGTTATGATGACCTTTAGAAATTAAAATATCGATTTGAAATTTTCAGAATCGAGATTTTTTTAACCTAGAAAATGATAAAATAACGAGAAAAAAATTAAAAAAATATTCTATTTTTGACGATTTTGGAAATTTTTAAAAATCTTGAAAATCTTGAACGACCTCTAAAAATTTTTTTTTGAGATGATTTTTTGAGAGGGCTATTAAAACATGATTAACATATTTTCACAAGAGACACGAAAAAAAAAATATTCGTTTTTTTGGGCCACCCTACTCTGTATAATTATCGTATTGGTATGTTTTAATCCAATGCTCATATGTGCTCTATATATTTTAAAGTACGGGCTTTACAGAATATCTGAGCTGAAGAATTAGATCCCTAAAAAAACCGTTTTATATGAGTTATTTTTTTTTATACTAGGCTAGCCTGACGGAGGAACAAATCCAGAAACTGAAAGGATACCACAAGGATTGTGCCGCTGAAACCGGCGTCGACACAGAGCTGGTCACCAAAGCGAGGAAAGGGGAGTTCTCCGAAGACCCCAAATTCAAAGACCATCTCTTTTGCGTGGCCAAGAAGATCGGCTTCATGACTGCCGATGGAGAGATCCACAGAGATGTATTGAAGGAGAAACTAGGCTCGGCCATCAACGACGACGCCGCTGCTCAGAAGCTCATCGACGAATGCGCTGTGAAGAAGGATACCCCTCAAGCTACAGCCTTCGACACGATTCAGTGTTACTATGTGAAAACCCCAACTCATATTAGTATTGTTTAATCTGTGATTTCGTTAAATTTTTTCTTTGTGGTTAATAAAATCTTATTTAAGAATTTCTGTACTAAAATTCTTTCACAATTCCTTAAAACGGAGTCAATGAAAATATGGAAACTCTTAGAGAAACATTAGAAGAGACCTAATTCTTTTTTAACAATTTTAAGGTAGACTATTAAAATTAATTTAAAAACATTTTTTTTTTAATTTTCATTTTCAAGTTACGCAAAATACAATTATAATATGTTACATAACGAGCGTGGATAATTGGCATATAACATACGAGTGTGACATTTCACACAACACTCGAGTGTGTTAATAATAATAATATGTTTATTGCCCAACAGATTACAAATCCAATTACAGGACAAATTTATAAGTGCCAGATACACAACAAAAAAAAACAAATAAAAGAAAGCCGGAAAACTATAAAACAAATACAAAACAAATATAAAGAAATATGTACATTATATGCATATAGTATGCACCACCTAGTTCCTAGATGCTGAACTCAACAATTTGTGAGAGAGTACTAGCATTAACATCGCAAGTATCAGATATCAAATTGAAATTTTTGCACATAATATATATAGGAGATTTCAAAACTATATTGGTCTTAACCGCTTGACAGTAAAATGTAACATTTTGCCTGGAACTTATTCTAGGAATTAGAAAATAAAACTGTTGCAATAACAAGGGACAATCTAAATTGTTATGAAATATATTAAAATGAATTTTTAAACTATTAATAATCCTACGTAACTCTAAAGAAGTAAAATTAAACCTATCAAGCAGTACAAAATGATCGTATCCTCTTTCTGGATAAAAATTATCAACTTTCAAACATAAAAACTTGAGAAACTTTCGCTGTACACTCTCAATTGTGTGCTTATGATTTACATACAGTGGATACCAGACAAGCCAGCAGTACTGTTTAGATCTTATAAAAGAATAATAGAGCGTCTTCAAAGCTCATTAGAAAATGAGTGACAGTTTCTAGTTATGAAACCAAGCATCTTCAGGGCTGAACCTGTGGCATACTCAACATGATTTGAATAGTTAATGCTATTTCCAGCAAATTACCTACAATATCTTTCCCACAACTTACAACGAAAGAAAAAAAGAAAAGCATTACCTACTAAATATTTTATTTTTCTAGACACAAATTAATAACATTTTTTAATAAGAAGCTGTAGGAAATTATTATACAATCATAATATTATACACATTGAAATATTTTATTTAGGCTCTTCGTCATTAAAAATATTTATAGTAATAATTGTATTGTATAGGATGAGACAATGAATGTGTATGTAAAGTGTAGGATAACAATTGTTCTTAAACCAACTGCACAGTTTCTGCTTCACTTGGAATACAAGGTCCTGTTTTTGAAGTGTCGAAAGTAGATGGTGCATTTATCTTGGAGGAATTTTTTACCATTTCGCATCATTTTATCGAAAAATTAGAATATACGTTTGTAGTATTATACTTCTGCTTTTAAAATCCGGATGAAAAATTAAAATCGCACCACCTACAACGCATCCAGAAATTTTGCAAAATAGTGCACCAAAAAATTCATAGTGCAATTGTGCCAAAACTAATGGTAAAACATCGCCTGCTTTGTGCACACTTAATGTACATATAATTCGCTACTTTTGTGCACAAAGTCAGCTTTACAGCTTAAAAAATGGCGGAGTAATGGATTTTTAAAAAAACCGCTAAATTTTCCGATTTTTCCGTGTTTTTTTCGTTTTTAATTATCCAATCGGATTGATCATCCTCTCCCTTTATTTGTATTTCGATTTTCTACAAATTGTTTCATTATAATATTCAGATTGCTTCGTTAGTTTAGCTTTTATAAGCGAAAATCTAAAGGAAATGCGTTTTTTGCATAAAAATCTTTATAAAAAATTAATTTATGGTAAATTGGAGTAGAAAACATATAAGCATATATCTACAGACTGTCACAGATATGTCACAGATATGATGGCATAGTCACTGATTAAATGCTCTATTGATTGGCCTATTAGTCAAAATTTTGTTTGGAATTTCAATTTTATTTGTTAGTCAATGTAACTTTCTGCCACAGCGGTCGGTTTCCATTCTCCATGTCGCTTAAGAGTCGTTATGTCACCACTTGCGTCCACAAGAATTGTAGCTGATGATCTCCGAAAGAAATGGATAATTCAGGATCTTGTAAATTTAAATAACTTCCGAAATTTGTTGACACCTACCGTTTGCTCGGTGCATTTTCCCTTCTAATAGTTCAAGAAAAAACGGGATTCTTCTATATCAGTCGGTTCTAAGTTTGGCATATTTCTTAAAAATACTTGGTTGTTTTTTTTTAGTATAAGAGTTGCCGATCCTAGGTTTTGAGTTGCTTTAACGCTTGCTTCTGACAACTACTCTGTGAACTAATACCCCAACCAGCATTGTATTACAGACACAGTATTTAATAAACAGCCAAGATAATTCGCCAGTAGAACCACTAGACATAGACCAAATTAGAACTTATTAATTCTCATCAGTCATAGGTATAATTGTAGTATCCTACTTGTAGTTTGGAAGGGGTGGTTTCTAGGGGCTAGATGGGTGAGGGGGTAGGCGGGTTAGCATGGTTGTGGTGTGGAATTTAATTATTTCAAGAAAAATACGCGCCCATGAGGACATTTATTCAGGACGCCGAGTTACGTAACATATAAAAAATTCAGCCAAATTAACCGGGAGCCATTGGCCATAAGGCTTGTGCGGGGTAAGGTATATGACATTTTTATCAATTTTCTATAAAGTAACATTTTTTACTTATAATTAGATATTTATATGTAGTATTTTTTCAACTTTTTTCATTTAAGCAATTTTATGCATTATTTATTGTCGTTTTGTTATATCACTGGAGCCTTTTTGATATATTTTTTTTTTCTTTTAAATGCAATTCAAAATCAGTTGCACTAATCAAATTTCTAAAACTCGGTGCCGTCGAAATTCTGGAGTTATTACTTTAATAAATTATCAGACTCTCTTTTCAGAGCCATTTCAGTAAACGTATTTTTTTTCTTATTTTCAACACCTTCAGGTTGTGACATGACCTTTAAAAAGAACAATATTGTTAAAGCAACTGTATGAAAAGATCCAGCAATCCACAATAAGACTGATTAACACAGCTCCACAAAAAAAAAGTTTTGTGCTAATGACCAGAATACATTATTACATTACATATTGCATATTTTGAGCTGTTGAATCCGAATTCGATGTCAGAATTGCTCCAACACATCACCAGAATTTTCTAAATTCAAAAAATGCAAAAAACACACAACATCGGCAAATTAGCATTTAAAATCCAGGTATGATTTATCAGCGGCTGCAACTAGTGGTCAGATCTATATTCTCATGTGTGTTGACCCGCTGAACAAGAATCCGGAGCCAGATTTGGCACACAAGGTCACAAACCCTTTCCAGCCTTAAAAAAAGCTTAAAAATCCACAAAATTAATAAATTAACTTCTATGATGCAGGTATGATTTAACTGTGACTGAAAATCGTGGTCTGACGTATGTATCCGATATCAGAAGTGCTCCAGGAAATCACCAGAATTTTCTGACCTGAAAAAGTTGCTTAAAATCACTAATGTCGAATTTTAGAAACATAGGGCTACAAAGAATGCAAAAATATATTATTCCCATGTATTCATATCTATCTCAACCCCTGGTACGAAAACTTATTGGTGCTCATTTATAAACGAACAGAAAGTCTTTAACCTAATGTATCCTAATGCAAACGCAGAAAGGATTATTCAACAAAGTCTAGGTGTCGAATCATAAACGAACAGAAAGCGTATAATACAAGCTCTAAATCTAACATAACCGTACCGCTCGTACCGCCCTTTGGATGGCCCTGTATGAATTTTGAGATGCTCATTACCAATCTGATATCAAAGTCACGTTAGCAGATCAGTATTGAAGGTTGCTTTCGCTGTACAGCAAAAATAAAACGCTCTCTCAACGGTATAAATAAACTATTTTTATTGAAAACTAAGCTTGTGGAAAAAGACGAATGTTTGGTGGAGAGTACCTGTGTGTAGAGTCGGTCGTAGGTATTTGAGTACACATCTGGTCGCCGGCGCCAGTCCGCCGTAGACCCTTCCTGGAACGCTGGTGCGTCCGGCGGCGTCCTGCTGGCGCTCTTGACGTAATGCTTAAAAATGGGTCACTTGCGAACATGTGTACCCACAGTAAAATTTTTGATAAGAAATTTAAAGTAGCTAGTAATTTAGAAATCAAATATCTTTTTATAATTAAAAATATTGACAAAGCTATTTTCTTTTCTCTCCATTTTCTTGAAATTAGTTGTTCAGAACAAGATTATCTTTTTTTTTCATAGAAGTACTGATCTTTTCGATTCTGCCAATAAAACTTAAACATTCAATGAAATAAATAGTTAGAGTACTGGCTAGCGTTATACGAGCTACCATTAATATGTGATTCACCTTTTAGATTATATCGAAGTCATTTCCAACTTTAAAGATTAAAGTCTTGACCAAATCCGATAACATAGATGTATTTATTCCGTTTAATTAAAAAATATATTGGTTTCTAATTAATATTTTTGTGAGACTTTGCACCACAAACAAGTATTATTGCAATATGTATTGATTAGATATTTTACTACTTTGACGAGATCTACCTGCTGTTAGAGAAAACTTATTCACGTATACCCTGTATAAAACGAAGCATCTCTACAAAATAAATGTTATTTGAGATAAACGTCTTAAAAATATATATTTTGTCCAGACAAATAATGATGATTCGTTAAAAGTTGTTAATTGATTTTATGAGGTTTTCGTTGAACGATCGCTCTATGTAATGAATACAATGAAAGTAAAAATATAATTAATTCAATGGCTGTCAAATAAATTATATCTTAACATATTATTCCTAGTCATTAAAAAAATATATGTATTTATAAGTGCTTTGCATGTACCCAATGAATCTAAAATATGTTTTTTTTTTATAATTCATCTACTTTTACCAAAGTATTAATAAATAGTGACGGAAATATAGTAT